CGTGCTCATTCCCAGAAATAGTCCCTGAGCAACATGCTAAGAGGGCATGCTAGCAATTCTTACTGTATCTAACTTAAGTTCTGAGCCACTTTGCTAGAACCATTCCTTATTATTTTTTCCTGTCTATTTTTTAGAGATAGAGTCTGACTCTGTCACCTAGGCTGGAGTGCAGTGAGATGATCATAGCTCACCACAGGCTCAAATAACTGGGCTAAAGTGATACTCGCAAGTGGCTGGGACTACAGGTGCATACCACCATCACCAGATATTTAAAAAAATTTTTTAGAGATTGAGTCTGTGTTGCCCAGGCTGGTCTTAAACTCCTAGGCTCAAGTGATTCTCCTACCTCAGCCTCCCAAGTTGTTGCGATTACAGGCATGAGCCACCACACCCAGCTGCAATTCAGTTTATAAAGATTTACTTAAAAGGGAATGATCCAAAGTGTCAATTTTTTATTATTAAAAAAGTTTAAAAGTATTGCTCATCCCTATCAAATAAACAAAATGTTTGCCACTCTGTGATCCACTGTATTACATATAGTTTCCAGAAGGAACTGTATTACATATAGTTTCCAGGAAAAAAAATTGCTTCTTTTTTCAATCAATGTGTAGTTTTAAATCTCTTAAGTCCTGTGTAGAACATACATAAGTAGAAAACATGTTCCCTATTCAGAAAGAACTTACATCTAGCTAATGAGATGACTAGGAACACACAGAGACATTTACATACTCAATGTAAGGTGGTAATGAGTGAAACAGATAATAATTATTATTTTATTTTAATAAGGACAGATATTACCAGTGCCCAGTGTAGTCACAAAGGTTCTTATGGGAAATATTGAAATTCATGTATGTATAGGTATCTGAAGAGGTCCCTTTCCTAGGTTCTGTATAAGTTGAGAAATAAAACAAATAGTGAAGATGAAGGCCAAAATATTACCTTTCTTCCTAATAGCACATTGTTGGATATATTTTTAAGTCTTAGCCAAGGGGGGCTTCTAATAATGAATTCCTGGGAGTCACGTTATAGCTGGTTGCATTGACTCGGGAAAGAAGCTTCCAAGAAGGAGGGTAATGCTGACCCATTTCCATACTTTCTCCCCAGGGATGTCGTGAAGGGGTGAGAGAGGCTCAGAGTAAAGGAATTGAGCATCTTTCCAGTTGGGAGTCATCAGGAGTGGGGATGAAGTGTTCTTAAAATTACACTCTTGTTCCAGAACAATGTGCAGATTTAAGTATAGATAAATAATGTGAAAGGGTATTTTAGGCATGGAAAACAGAACTGTGGAGTGTGAAGGTTATATTCAGACTGCACTACAGCATGGTGTTAACATGAGTAATAGAATTAATGATAGGAAAAAGAGAAGGGTAGAGTGAAGTGAAATTTATCTTACCCTGTTACATATAGAGGAGCTGTCATTTTGTAGCCATACCCTTATAAAATGTATATATATTATATATGCTATAGTTGGAGGAGAAAAGGGGCAGTAAGGGTGGCCTGTCACCACCCATTATTATATGTGCTGAAAGTGACTCTGGACTAACAGCTACAATTTTTGAGGCAATAGTTTTGTGTAAATCAAACTATTTACTTATCATTTGTCATATATAAAATATCTGTGGTTGGAGAATGGAGAAGGTGATCAGAAGTTTGCCTGTGATAAAAAGATGGGTGGAAATTGATGCTCTTCTAAAGGACATTCCCTAGAGGATACTTGTGAAATCAGAAATGTCCACCCAATTTTGATCTATTGTTCCAGGTTTCCTTTCCCCACTCCAGAGATTTAGATAATAAATGAAATTCTTAGAAAAATCCACTTGTAAGCAAGACCATCAGAAATTGTGCACACGGCTCCAAGTAAGTCTCTCAAGTGGTCATCACAAAAATATTCCAGTTTTTGAAATATGGCATGTTATGTGTTGAAACAAAAGCATCATTAGTAGGAACACAATTTGATTCCTTTGGGTCCAATTCATGTTTTCTCAAGTCAAATTATGGTGTAAGAAGTTTCCTGTTTTAAATAATACTCATCATTTTTCATATGCTCTTTGTATAGTTGGTGATTATAAGAGGAAATATTATTTTAACAGAAAGATTCTGTATATGAATAATTTTCTCTTTATTATTTGCAAGCTGAAATGAAGTAACTTGGTAATAGAGGAATTATGTGAGTCCTGTATACTGTAATCCTTGGCCAATTTTGTCAGTCTGTTTTCCTTTTAAGTGCGTGCATGTGTGTGTGTAACATAATATATATACAGAGCAGCAAACACCACCTCAGTGAATTTAGTCATTGCACCTGCCGAAGACTAGAGCACATTAGTACCCTGGAAGCTCTCTTTGTGTCCCCTCTCAACCACTATTTCCTTTATCCTCTCCAAGATTAACCCATATCCTGAATTAAAGGCTGTTATTTAGTTTCAACAGTGTTTAACATAATATGTGGTATGTACCTATGTACAAAATATATTTTTGTGTGTTGGCTTTCTTTTACTCAGCATGATTTTTGTAACATATATTCAAGTTACTTCCTGTAAATATAGTTTGTTCATTTATTATTGCATATATTTGTCCATTCTACTGTTGTTTGTAATTGGAGTTGTTATTACAAATAATGCTGATATGAAATTCTAGTACTTGACCTTTGACTCACATTGTATGTGCATTTCTGTTAGATACAGAGAGAGAGAGAGAGAGGTTCATGTTTTGTGAATATTCCCAGCTCATTTTCCAAAGTGGATGTACCCATTGACATTTCAACAGCTGGGTATAAAAGTTACTGTTTCTCCACATTCTTGCCAATCCTTAGTATTGTTGTTCTTTTTAGCCATTTTTGTGAGTATAATATTAACTTTTTGTAGTTTTAATTCTTTTTTCCTTGGTAACTAATGAAGTCAAGCCACTTTTTATGTGTTTCTTGGCAATTTAGATAGCCTCTTTTGTGAAGTCTCGTCTTTCACTCATACTTTAAAAGTCTTTATAAGTGTTCATATATTCTGGACATAAACACTTTGTCAGTTTTAAGTGTTGTCATTATCCTCTTCCACTATTATGGGTTGGGTCTTCATCTGAAAGATGAAAGCTTTTAGGCCGGGCGCGGTGGCTCAAGCCTGTAATCCCAGCACTTTGGGAGGCCAGGGCGGGTGGATCACGAGGTCAAGAGATTGAGACCATCCTGGTCAACATGGTGAAACCCCGTATCTACTAAAAATACAAAAAATTAGCTGGGCATGGTGGCACATGCCTGTAATCCCAGCTACTCAGGAGGCTGAGGCAGGAGAATTGCCTGAACCCAGGAGGCGGAGCTTGCGGGGAGCAAAGATCGCACTATTGCACTCCAGCCTGGGTAACAAGAGTGAAACTCAGTCTCAAAAAAAAAAAAGATGAGGTCTTTTAGTATTCTCACCACACAGACAGTATGTGAGGTGATGGATGTTGGATGTATTAAGTAGCTTGATTGTGGTAGTCATTTCACAACATATATGTCAAAATGTCACATCGTTTACCTTGAATACATACAATTTTTGTTTTGTCATTATATCTCAATAAAGCTAAAAAACAAAGATCTTTAGATGAATAGAAATTCTTACTTTTAGTGTAAACCAATTTATTGGTCTTTTTATAATGTTTAGTTTTTTGTGTGTGTGCTACAAAATTGTTTCCAACCTGAACATCATGAAGATAGTCTCCTATATTATATTCTAGAAGGTTTGTTGACCAGGTTATATCTGCAATTAACCTTAGATGATACGGATTAAATTTCATGTTTTTCCCCATCTATGGCTATTCAATTAACCCAGTACCATTTGTTGAAGACCCATCTCCCATTGTTCCATAATGCCTTATTTATTTGAAATCAAGTATCCATGTATGTGGGATATGCATTCGAGCCTCCTACTCAGTTCGATTTGTTTGAATTGAGTAGGAGGCTCAAATCATCAAGACTACACCATCTTAATTAGTGTTGAATCATAATATATTCTAATGACTGATAGATTAAATTATCCCAGCTTGTCCTTTCTTAATAGTGTCTCAACTATTCTTGGCCTTTAAATCAGCTTACCATGCTACACACATGTACATACAAAATCTAACAGAATTTTTATTGGGATTGTTTCACTGTATACTATAGATCAGTCTGAGGAAAATTGACACTTTTATAATATTGAGTCTTTTGATTCACAGAATATTCCATGTATTTTAATCTTTAATCCTTTCAAAAATGGTTTATTGTTTTCTAGTGACATGTTTTATATATCTTTTATAGATTTATTCCTAGGAATTTGATATTTTCAATATCATTACAAATAGTGCTTTTAAAATTTGTTTTGGTAAGTGGTAATAAAATTTATTTTTGTGTCTTGACTTTGTATCAGCAATCTTTAACTTACTGTTGAATTAGAATTTTTTTTACATCTGTAAATTAAGGCTCTGTTGGTTCTTCTTTTTCTTTTCTTGTGTCTTTTATTTATTTAATTTTCTTATTGTACTAGCTAGGCCCTGCAATAAGGTATTAAATAGAAATCTGAGATGTCATTTAAGCAGCCATTCTTGTTTTGATGACAATGGGAAAATTTTCAAAATTTCATGTTGTACGATGTTGGCTTAGGTATTTTGGGGAAATCCTATTTCCTAGTTTACCAAATATCTGTTTGTTTGTTAATCATGAATGAATATTGAGTATACAAAATTTGCCTTGCATCTATTGAAATCCCTTTATTATTATGTTGAATTATATTGGTTGATTTTTGAATATTAAATCAACTATTGATCCTAGAATAAATCCAACTTGGTTATGAGCAGTATCCTTTTATAGGAATCATTTAATTTTGTTTGCTAATAATTTGCTTAGGAATTTTTTATCTATGTGTATCAAAGGATTTTTACATTATGAGTGACATTGACCTATGATATTCCTTTTTTTGTAGTTTTTCTTGTCACGTTTTTGTACTGAGATCATTTTGGCCTCAAAATATAAAAAAAAAAATTTTTTTTTTTAGATAAAAGAAAGAAAAGAAGAAAGAAAGAATGAAAGAGAGAAAGAAAGAGGAAGAGAAAGAGGGAGAGAGAACGGGAATCTTGCTCAATTGCCCAGGCTAGAATGCAGTCTAAAAATAGGTATTAAAAACCTCTTTTATGCCAATAATTGTGCTTAACAATGGAGACAGGAAGGAATAAGGGAGGAAAATAACAAACAACCAGCCAACCAGTATTTCATTTAAACCTGTGAAATGCTATGCAATTGCTGAGGAGTGATTTACTTCCCATTATGTGGTCACTTTTAGAATAGGCGTGATGTGATACTGAGAAGAATGTATGTCTTGTGGATTTGGGGTGGAGAGTTCTGTAAATGTTTATTGAGTTTACTTGTTCCAGGTCTCAGTTCAAGTCCTGGATATCCTTGTTAATTTTCTATCTTGTTTATCTGTCTAATATTGACAGTGTGGTGTTAAAGTCTCCCACTAATACTGTGTGGGAGTCTAAGTCTCTTTGTAAGTCATTAAGAACTTGTCTTTTTAAAATTTTTTTCTGGAAGAATTTGTGTGAGATTAGAACAATTTTTTGGGAGAATTTGTGTGAGATTACAACAATTTCTTAAATTATTTGTAAAATTCATTGATGAAGACATAATTATAGATTGAACTTATAAATATAGAAAACTATTTAGATTTTTGCACATCTTGTGTAACTTTTAGAATTTATATTTTTCTGGGAGTTTTTTCATTTCCTATACATTTTCAAATTTATTGGCATAAAGTAATCTATATTATCATTTTATAATCTTTATAATGTCTGTAAGATATGTAGTGTTAGAGTCATCATTCCTGATACTGGTTATTTGTGACTTCTCTTTTTCCTCTTTATCAATCTCATCAAAAACTTATACATTCTTTTGGTCTTTTCTAAAAAGAAGCTTTTGGATTTATTTATCCCTTCTGTTTCATATATTTATTTTATGTTATATATCTGCTTGTTATTATTATTAGATTCAGTTACACAGGCATATTGCATGATGCTGAGATTGGGTATCCTAGTGATCCCGTCACCCAGGACATGAACATAATACTCAATAGGTGGGTTCTTCAACCCTTGTGTTTCTCTCTCCTTCCCTGCTTTTGGAATTCACAGTGTTTATTGTTCCTATCTTCATGTTCATGTGAATCCAATATTTAGCTGCCTCTTTTAAGTAAGAACATGCAGTATTTGGTTTTCTATCTCTTCCTTAATTTGCTTAGGATAATGGCCTCCAGGTGTATCCATGTTGCTGCAAAAAACATTATTTGGTGATTTATTATGGCTGCATGCTCTTCATTATTTGGGCTTAACTTGCCTTATTTTTCTGACATTTTGAAATGGATACTTAGATTAATGATTTTAAGCATTCTTCTTTTCTTAATGACTGTAACTTTTCCTCCAAGTGCAGCTCTATTTGATCTTATATGTTTTGATAATTATTCATGATTATTCAGTTATATTTTCTAATTTTTTAAAGTGTGTATTTTATTGCACTTTAGGTTCTGGGGTACATGTGCAGAACATGTAGGATTGTTGCAGAGGTACATGGCAATGTGGTTTGCTGCCTCCATCCCTCCTTCACCTATATCTGTCATTTCTCCCCATGTTATCCCTCCACAACCTCCCTACCCCCTGCTCTCCCTCTCCTATTATCCCCCAACAGACCCCAGTGTGTGATGCCCCCCTCCCTGTGTCCATGTGTTGTCATTGTTCAACACCCACCTATGAGTGACAACATGCAGTGTTTGTTTTTTTGTTCTTGTGTCAGTTTGCTGAGAAAGGTGGTTTCCAGATTCATCCATGTCCCTACAAAGGACACAAACTCATCATTTTTTATGCATAGTATTCCATGGTGTATATGTGCCACATTTTCCTTGTCCGGTCTATCACTGATGGGCATTTAGGTTGGTTCCAGGTCTTTGCTATTGTAAACAGTGCCACAATGAACATACATGTGCATATGTCTTATAATAGAATGATTTATAGTCCTTTGGATATATACCCAGTAATGGGATTGCTGGGTCAAATGGTATTTCTATTTCTAGATCCTTGAGGAATGGCCACACTGTCTTCCACAATGGTTGAACTAATTTACACTCCTACAAATAGTGTAAAAGTATTCCTTTTCTCCACATCCTCTCCAGCATCTGTTGTCTCCAGATTTTTAAATGAGCGCCATTCTAACTGGTGTGAGATGGTATCTCAATGTGGTTTTGATTTGCATTTCTCTAATTACAAGTGATGAGCATTTTTTATATGTTTGTTGGCCTCATAAATGTCTTCTTTTGAAAAATAACTTCATATCTCTCACCCTCTTTTGAATGTGTTTGTTTGTTTTTTTCTCGTTTATCTGTTTTAGTTATTTGTAGATTCTGGATATTAGCCCTTTGTCAGATGGGTAGATTGCAAAATTTTTTGCCATTCTGTTGGTTTCTGGTTCACTCTAATGATTGTTTCTTTTGCTGTACAGAAGCTCTGGAGTTTAGTTAGATCCCATTTGTCTGTTTTGGCTTTTGTTGCCAATGCTTTTTGGTGTTTTAGTCATGAAGTCCTTGCATATGCCTATGTCCTGAATGGTTTTGCCTAGGTTTTCTTCTAGAGTTTTCAAGGTGTTAGGGCTTACGTTTAAGTCTTTAATCCATCTGAAGTTAATTTTAGTGTAAGGTGTCAGGAAGGGGTCCAGTTTCTGCTTTCGGCAAATGGCTAGCCAGTTTTCCTATCACCATTTATTAAACATGGAATCCTTTCCCCATTGCTTGTTTTTATCAGGTTTGTCAAAGATCAGATGGTTGTAGATGTGTGGCATTCCCTCTGATGCCTCTGTTCTGTTCCATTGATCTATTTCTCTGTTTTGTTAAGAGTACCATGTGGTTTTGATTACTGTAGCCTTGTAGTATAGTTTGAAGTCAGGTAGGGTGATACCTCTGGCTTTGTTCTTTTTGCTTAGAATTGACTTGGCTATGTGGGCATTCTTTTGGTTCCATATGATATTTAAGGTGTTTTTTTCCAGTTCTGTGAAGAAGGTCATAGGTAGCTTGATGGGGATAGCTTTGAATTTGTAAATTACTTTTGGCAGTATGGCCATTTTCACAATATTGCTTCTTCCTAACCTTCAGCATGGAATGTTTTTCCATCCGTTTGTCTCCTCTCTGATTTCCTTGAGCAGTGGTTTGTAGTTCTCCCTGAAGAAGTCCTTTACATCCTTTGTTAGTTTTATTCCTAGGTTTTTTATTCTCTTTGTAGCAATTGTGAATGGCAGTTCATTCTTGATTTGGCTCTCTTTAAGTCTGTTATTGGTTATAGGAATGCTTGTGATTTCTGCACATTGATTTTGTATCCTGAGACTTTGCTGAAGTTACTTATCAGTTTCAGGAGATTTGGGGCTGAGAGGATGGGGTCTTCTAAATTTATAAGCATGTCATCTGCAAATAGAAACAATTTGACTTCCTCCTTTCCTAATTGAATACCCTTAATTTCTTTTTCTTGCCTGATTGTTCTGGCTAGAAGTTCCAATACTCTATTCAATAGGAATGGTGAGAGAGGGCATCCTTGTCTAGTGCCAGATATCAAAGGGAATGCTTCCAGTTTTTGCCCATTTAGTATGTTGACTGTGGGTTTGTTATAAATAGCTTATATTATTTTGAGATACGTTCTGTCAATACTTAGTTTATTGAGGGTTTTTAGCATAAAGGGCTGTTGAAGTTTGTTGAAGGCCTTCTCTGCATCTATTGAGATGATAATGTGGTCTTTGTCTTTTCAATAATCTATTGAAGGTCTTCTCTGCATCTGCTGAGATAATCATTGTGGTTCTGATTATGTGGTGGATGACATTTATATCCTTGTATATGTTGAACCAGCCTTGCATCCCCGGGATGAAGCCTACTTGATCATGATGGATAAGCTATTTGATGTGCTGTTGTAATCAGTTTGCCAGTATTTTATTGAAGATTTTTGCATCTATGTTCATCATGGATATTGGCCTGAAGTTTTCTTTTCTTGTTGAGTCTCTGCCAGGTTTTGATATCAGGATGATGTTGGTCTCATAAAATGATTTGGGAAGGATTTCTTCTTTTTGTATTGTTTGGAATAGTTCAGAAGGAGTAGTACCAGCTCCTCTTTGTATGTCTGGTAGAATTCGGCTGTGAACACATCTGGGCCTGGGCTTCTTTTGGTTGGTAGGCTATTAATTGCTGCCTCAACTTCAGCTCTTGTTATTGGTCTATTCAGGGTTTTGAATTCTTCCTGGTTTAGGCTTGGGAGCATGCAAGTGTCCAGGAATTTATCCATTTCTTCCAGGTTTACTGGTTTATGTGCATATAGTTGTTTGTAGTAATCTCTGATGGTAGTTTGTATTTTTGTGGAATCATTGGTGATATTCCCTTAATCATTTTTTATTGCATCTATTTGATTATCCTCTCTTTACTTTTTTATTAATCTGGCTAGTAGTCTGTCTATTTTGTTGTTGTTGTTGTTTTTTAAAACAGCTCCTGGATATATTAATTTTTTGAAGAGTTTTTTGCGTCTCTGTCTCCTTCAGTTCTGCTCTGATCTTAGTTATTTCTTGTCTTTGGCTAGCTTTTGAGTTTTTTTGATCTTGCTCCTCTAGCTCTTTCAATTTTGATGGTAGGTTGTCGATTTTAGATCTTTCCTTGCTTCTCATGTGGGCATTTATTGCTATAAATTTTCCTCTAGATACTGTTTTAAATGTGTCCCAGAGATTCCGGTATGTTGTGTCTTCATTCTCATTGGTTTCAAGGAACATCTTTATTTCTTTCTTCATTTCATTTTTTATCCAGTCAACATTCCAGAGCCACTAGTTCAGGTTCCATGAAGTTGTGTGGTTCTGAGTTAGTTTCTTAATCCAGAGTTCTAATTTGATTGCACTGTGGTCTGGGAGACTGTTTTTTAAGATTTCCTTTCTTTTGCATTTGCTGAGGAGTGATTTACTTCCAAGTATGTGGTCAATTTTAGAGTAGGTGTGTTGTGGTGCTGAGAAGAATGTATATTCTGTGGATTTGGGGTGGAGATTTCTGTATATGTCTATTAGGTTTGCTTGGTTTAGATCTATGTTCAAGTCCTGAATATCCTTATTAATTTTCTGTCTCATTGATCTGTCCAATATTGACAGTGGAGTGTTAAAGTCTCCCACTATTACTGTGTGGGAGTCTAAGTCTCTTTGTAGGTCATTAAGAACTTGCATATGTATCTGGGAGCTCCTGTATTAGGTGCGTATATATTTAGGGTCATTCGCTCTTCTTATTGCATTGATCCTTTTACCATTATGTAATGCCCTTCTTTGTCTCTTTTGATCTTTGTTGTTTTAAAGTCTATTTTATCAGAAAGTAGGATTGCAACTCCTGCTGTGTTTTGCTCTCCATTTGCTTGATAAATCTTCCTCTATCCCTTTATTTTGAGCTTATATGTATCCTTGCATGTGAGATGGGTTTCCTGGATGTAGCACACTGATGGGTTTTGACTTTTTATCCAATTTTCTTGTGTCTTTTGATTAGAGAAGTTAGCCCATTTACATTTAAGGTTAATATTGTTATGTGTGAATTTGATCCTGCCGTTTTGATGCTAGCTGGTTGTTTTGCCCATTCGTTGATGCAGTTTCTTCATTATTTTGATGCTTTTTAGCATTTGTATGTTTTTGGAGTGGCTGGTACTAGTTGTTCCTTTCTATGTTTAGTGCTTCTTTCAGGAGCTCTTGTAAGGCAGGCCTGGTGGTAATGAAATCTCTCAGCAATTGCTTGTTCATAAAGGATTTTGTTTCTCCTTTGCCTATGAAGCTTAGTTTGGCTGGATATGAAAGTTTAAGTTGAAATTTCTTTTCTTTAAGGATGTTGAATATTGGCCCCCACTCTCTTCTGGCTTGTAGGGTTTCTACTGAGAGATCCACCCTGAGTCTGATGGGCTTTCCTTTGTGGGTAACCCAACCATTCTCTCTGGCTGCCCTTAGCATGTTTTCCTTCATTTCAACCTTGGTGAATCTGAGGATCATATGCCTTGGGGTTGCCCTTCTTGTGGAATATCATTGTGGTGTTCTCTGTATTTCCTGAACTTGAATATTGGCCTGCCTTGCTAGATTGGGGAAGTTCTCCTGGATTATATCCCGAAGCATATTTTCCAGCCTGGATTCATTCTCTCTGTGACATTCAGGTACACCTATCAAATGTAGATTATGTTTTTTCACATAATCCCATATTTCTTGGAGGGATTTCATTTCTTTTTACTTTTTTCTTAATCTTGCCTTCTCATTTTATTTCATTGAGCTGATCTTCAATCTCTGATATCCTATCTTCTGCTTGGTTGATTCCACTATTGAAACTTGTATATGTTGTGCAAAGCTCTCGTGTTGTGTTTTTCAGCTCCATCAATTTATTTATATTCTTCTCTAAGATGTTTACTCTCAAATACATTTCATCAAACCTTTTTTAAAATTCTTAGTTTCTTTACCCTGGGTTAGAACATGTACTTTTGGCTCAGAGAAGTTTGTTATTACCCACTTTCTGAAGCCTGTTTCCATCAATTCATCAGACTCATTCTCCATCCAGCTTTGTTCCCTTGCTGGTGAGGAGTTGTGATCCCTTGGAGGAGGAGAGGCATTCTAGTTTTGGGTGTTTTCATCCTTTTTGCACTGGTTTCTTCCCATCTTTGTGGATTTATCTACCTGTGGTTTTTGTAATTGATGACTTTCAGATGGGGTCTCTAAGTGGATGGCCTTTTTGTTGATGATAAAGTTCTATCTTTCTGTTTTTTAGTTTTCCTTCTAACAGTCAGGCCCCTCTGCTGTAGGACTGCTGGAGGTCCACTCTAGGCCCTGCTTGCCTGGGGATCACCTGCAGTGGCTGCAGAAGAGTAAGGGTTGCTGCCAATTTCTTCTTCTGTTATCTTCATCCCAGAAGGATACCCACCAGATGTCAGCCTGATCTCTCCTTTATGAAGTGACTTTTTGGATATACAGGGGTCAGGGAGCTACTTGAGGAGGCACTCTGGCCCTTTTAGGAGCTCAAGTGCTGAGCTGTGAGGTCCATTATTCCATTCAGAACTGTTGGGCAGATATGTTTAAATTTACTGCAGCAGAACTCATAACCACCTTTTTTCCCAGGTGCTCTGTCCTGGGAAGGTGGGGCTTTGTTTATAAGTTCCTGATGTGCTGCTGCCTTTTTTCAGAGATTCCCTGCTGAGCTAGGAGATAGCCTAGTCTAGTTATAGTCTGCCAGAAGAGGCATTGCTGAGCTGCCATTGGCTCTGCCCAGCTGCCATGTGAACTTCCTTGTGGTTTTGTTTACAGATGTATAGTTAGAACTGCTTCATTAATGGCAGTCTGCCTTAGTAATGACAGACTGCCTCTTTAATGGCAGACTGCTTAGGTAATGGTGGACTGCCTCGGTAATGGTGGACTGCCTCGGTAATGGTGGACTGCCTCAGTAATGGTGGTCTGTCTCGTTAGTGGTGGACTGCCTCAGTAATGGCAGATGCCCTTCCCCCCACAGAGCTGGACCATCCTGGGTCCAGCTGTGCTTTCTGTGAAACTCTCAATCCAGAGCATTTCGGATTATTGGTCTTTGTGGGGGTGGAACCTGCTGAGCCTGGTCACCTGGCTCTCTGTTTCAGCCCCCTTTTTTTCAATTGAATGGGTGGCTCTGTCTCCCAGGTGTTCCAAGTGCCAGTTGAAATGGCTGCCCAGATTTGTGTGAGTTTTTGTGTGGAGACCCACTACACCAGCTGAAAAAGCCATGCTGGAACCTCATGGCACTTTTCAGTCCATGTATCTCCTGTTTTGTGAACAGTAATAATTCATTTGGTAATGCAGTGGTCACTTACCCTCTGCATTGTTCTCACTGGGAATTGCACTCCGGAGCTGTTCCTATTCAGCCATTTTGGATCCACCCCCCTTTTCTAATTTTTATTAGAATGGCTTTTTTTTGGCCCACGGATTATTTAGAAGCATATATCTTAATTTTGTTCTTTGAAATATATAGGGTTTTTCAAAGTATTCTTTTATCATTGATTTACAGAATAATTGCTCTGTGGTTAGGGAACATTTTTTGAAATTTGTTGAAACCTGCTTTAGTATCCAAGCATATGCTCAATTTTTATTGATGTTTCAAAAAAACAGTATTTACCCTTGAGTTTTGGGGTGTAGTGTTCTTTGTATGTCAACTAATTCAGTTTTTTTAGTGTATCATCCAATAATGTGTGAACTACTGGTTTTGGTGTCTACTTGGTCTATCAGTTAATAAAGAAAGTTATATGAAAATCTTCCAAATGATTGTGGATTTTTTGCTTTTCCTTATAATCTTGCCAATTGTCTCTTTATATGTTTTGAGGCCATATTTGTAAGTACATACATATTTAGAATTATTGTAGCTTCTGGCATATCAAAGCAGAAGTTATGAAGTATTTATTTATTAATTATACTTATGAAGTGTACTTATTTTGAAGTGTACTTTTTATCTCTAGAAATGTTTTCTGTCATAAAATCTACTTTATCTGATTTAATAAAGCGATACTCATTTTCTTTTGATTAATGTTTGAATGCGATGTTTTTTTCCACTCTTTTACTTGCTGCCCTTTTGCATTCTTATATTTATTATATGTTTTATGTAAATGAAATGTAATTTGGTTTTGTTTTTTACTGAGTCTGACTCTGATGCAACAAAAATCGATATGACTTATTTAGAAGACACTGTCTCCCAAACTAAAGAGAACACTTTAGAAACATAGTTTGAGGCCAGATTTTGGAGAGTCTTTTAGTATCAAAGGAAAAATTCTGGCTTGTATCTTCTAAGTTTCTGGGAACGAATGAAGGATTTTTATTTTATTATTATTATTTTCATTAAAGGGTTTTTAAACAGGTGAATGATATATCTTTTTAAGAAAGTTAAATCGGAAGATTCAACTGGAGCAGCAGGCACTAGTAGTAATAAAGATAGGTGCTGAAATTCTTTTAATAAGGTAGCACTTAGGACAACAGTACCTGATACATAGTAAGCTTGCAATAAAATACTTGATAACTAAAGGAATAATCCAGATATGATGTGATGACCAGCCAAACAGGGGTGTGGTAGTGGAAGTAGCAAGGAATGATTGGATATATACAATGCGATAGACAGAATTCATTGACAGCTTATGTGTAAGTGAGCAGAAATGTCAAGCTTATGTTAATCAACAAACATATGAATATCATGCTAAAATGTTTATATAGGTGTCTATTACATGGGAGCATCAGAAGAATAAGTAATGAAACAATGGTGAATATATTGATCATTATTCTATATGTTTTCTATTTCTGATTTTGCCTTGGTTGTCCCTGAAAGTGCAGTTATTAATCCTTCTCTTAATAGCTGCTCACCCATTTTTTATTTTGTATATTAAGGAATTCAGAATTTGTAGTAGTTGTCAAATTTTTGGGGGATTTTAGAATCGTTAGTTAAAATATGTCATAATTCCTTTCATTATAATTATTTAGTGATCTCTGTCAGACACTTTCATTATGTGGATTTCTTGGGCATTTCTGTTGGTTTTTTTACCTAGTGCTGATTGTTTCCTCTTTTGTTTTAAACCTTGCGTTGTGAGCTTATCTTCATCAGGGCTTTGTAAAACTCCTGTGCTTCCTTGGTTAAGAATTGCCTTTCAGAATAGTTTTGGGTTTACTTCTGCAGGTACTCTAGGGAGATCCCTGGCTTGGGACCTATTTCTTTGTAATTTCTTGACTTGTGGCTTTCTAGACCACACTTGACATAAAATTCAATCCTGTATGAGTTCAGGCTCCTGTTATGGATTCTCAAGAGATTTGTTTTTCTCACCTAGAGCCCAAGCATAGACAAATTAGTTTCACTATTGTCTATTGTCTTCTTTTGCTTGTGGGCAGAGAGTTTAACACTTTTGAGTTTTATGCAGAGATCTTAGTTTTAATTTGCCACATTGCAAGAGCTAAGTTCTCATCATCATCATCATCTTCTTCTTCTTCTTCTTTTTTTTTTTTTTTTGCATTCCCTGAAAAATCAAATTCTTAGATGACAACTCCTACTCATCACCCACCATCAAGACAAACACAGGGTAGACTACTCATGTGCCAGTCCAGTTTCAGTTGCTTCATTATTCCTGGCATCTGGATTTTTATTATTTATTTATTTTTGAGATGGAGTTTCACTCTTTTTTCCAGTCTGGAGTGCAATGGTGTACTCTCGGCTCACAGTAACCTCTGCCTCCTGGGTTCAAGTGATTCTCCTGCCTCAGCCCCTAAGTAGCTGGGATTATAGGCATGCACCGTGACACCTGACTAATTTTGTATTTTTAGTAGAGATGGGGTTTCTCCATGTTGGTCAGACTGGTCTTGAACTCCTGATCTCAGGTGATTTGCCCACCTCGGCCTCCCAAAGTGCTGGGATTACAGGCATGAGCCACTGTGCCCAGTCAATATTTTTCTTCTATATGAGCTCAGCTAAGCATTATAAGTTTGTATATTTTTTTCCCAGCCCTTCCAGTTTATCTAGAAGGAGGGTTTTTATGTGTAGTTTTCCATATTACTGAAACTCAAATTTTAAATTTTTTCCATGTCTATAAAGTCTTTTTTCACATGTTTCTAAATATCCTTGACTTGATTTTTTTTTTAAAGGACATTACGTTTCACAGTTGTTATGTCCTTAAAATGCTATTTCCCCACTTTTAGATTTAATTTAAGAAGTAGAACATAATTCTAATATCATTTAACCTTGCCACTTCATAAATTCTATTCAGAGGCACAAAGGGAATAATTAACTCTGAAGATTGATAGAGGACTGGCCTTTTTAACTTGGCCTGAGGAAATAACCTTAAAGAATGCCCCCGTGCACTCCATGTGAATAAATAACAACAAATTCAGTGCAGTGATTACCTTGAGGTCTAGGGAACAGGGGAATTGAGAAATGAGAACATAGGGGGTTTCATTTACATTTGTAATGTTTCATTTCTTAAACCAGTAGTATATATCCAGGGATTCATTATATGTTCTACCGTTTTAAAAAATTTGAATTATTTGATAATAAAAATAATTGTTAAAGAAATTGTTACTATAATGCAAACAGTACAACACTTTTAATTTCATATGACATAAGATATACAGGGCATTTGGCATTTGTCATGTGTGGTTGTCAAGTGAATAGGTAATTTTTCATCCTAAAGAGGTCAGAGAGTAAGTTGTTTTTTCAGCAACTGTTAAGATTTAGTTTTTACCATATTAGACTGTGTTTTCTCCCGTGCCTGTTGAAAATATCACACGACTGATAACAAACTCCAGTGTATCTGGTGAGTATGCTATTTCCAACTTGGGGAGCAATTCCAGCATTATCTGGAATAGTAATAGATTGAATTTGAATAATCTTCTTTGCTAAAAAGATCCTTTTAAGTGCTTTTGCAATAAAGTTATCTGCTGATTTGATTTTTTTATTCATGTGAATTACAAGTGTTGCTATTTGGTGATCTTGTTAACTTACATCTTTTAACATTAAAGTATGAAAGAGGAGGAAAAGATTGCCATTTAAAGGGACCCAGGTCCTTTTGAATGTCTGCTTAGGTCTGGCACCCTGCCTGATTCCTTGCATAGACTGTTTCTCATCCTCACAACATTAGACATAGTTACATTTATTGAGCATGTTCTTTGTGCCAGTCATATGATAAAGTATTCTTTATCTATTATTTGATTTCTACAACATTCCTACAAATAGGTCTTATCATTATCTCTCTTTTAGAATGGACAAAATAGGTTAGATGAATTTGACTAAGTCATAGAACTACTAAATAGAATAATTACCCCTGTGTAACTCTGAAATAACTCCCCCATGTATGTATGCACGTATGTACGTGTGCGTGTTAGACTTTCTATCATCTATTCTACACTCATATTGTCCAGTACTGAATACCTCACAGCAATAATTTGATATCACTTGGGCATCAGAAAGATTCACGTAACTGTTATGATATGTAGGATGTAGCTGCTTCTTATTTACAAACAGTAGATAAGACAAAAATACAAGAAATGGATGAGCAGTAATAAGAAAGCTGGGTGATTAGGACAGTGGAGTGGTTGGAGGGCAGAATGCTGTAAGAATCAGCTGCCTGAGGCTAGGTGGTAGAATGCTTATTGATCTTGATGGTAAATGTGGAAAAGGTAGGTTTGTAGCCTCTGGTTTTATGTTTTCTGCCATACCAAAGACAAAAGGGCAATGTTGTCCTGGGATCCTCACCTTTGACCTAATCAAAAAAACCCTTCCCTCCCCACTTCACTACTGTTCGGGAAGAGGGGTGATTCAGGAAGAATCACCCCTCTTCAGGAGACCAAAACACACACACACACACACACACACACACACACAAAGATGGCCAGGCTATATTGTTTCCTATTTACTTACGGATAAGCTCATTGCTTTTCAGATAAAAAAGAAAGGAAGGATGGAGGGAGAGATATAAAGGGAGGGAGAGATACAGAGGAGATTGATTTAATACAGAGAAAAGTTTTCAATTGTATTTTTATCTATGACTTCTTAGTGGATATTAAGACTATTTTGTGACTTTACAACTTTGTTTAGAAAAGATCAATGTGATTTCATCTAAACTGAGCCGTGTAAAGCACAATGTGTCTTTTTTCCTTAGCCTTCTTAGAGAAATTCATGTATCTCCAAACTTCATCTTGAACTATTGCATTTACTTCATACTGAGGCTTGTGTTTCATTATTTTGGCCTTGTGTAAGTAATTTTGGCCCTGAGGCAGTTAGACAACTAGGTGTCCTTCACTGGATTAGCAAAAATTATAAATGAATTAGTATAATCTCAATTAAAATAATATTTCATCTATCCAATTTACCATTTCTATTTATATATGGTCTAATCTAAGTCCTACTCTGATAACACTTTTAATAATAAAATTGGCTAATAAGACTCAGAGGCATGAGTGTGAGCAGATGTTTTCTTTCGCTTTCATAATTACACAGGTGTCCAAAAACATTGTAAAGATGCAAAAAAAGGCCAATCTAAGGACAAGTGCCCTGAGGTGGCCAATAAAAAACTCTGTTTGCATGAATATTTTGCTGATTTGTAGTTTAAAAATCAGCAATTAAATTTAAATTGGGTCTTGTGGAAAATTGTGAATCCCTCTTCTACAGACTTTCTTAGAAAGATTTAAATATTTCTAGTGTTTTCCCTGATGCCAGATTTTGAGCTTTCTGTTGTCTTATTCCTTGGGTAGCTGCTGTCTTGCTACTCCCACCCCTTATTTTTTTTATAAGAACTAGACAATTTTATTAGGGATCTTTTAGAAGTCCTTTTGAAAGTTTTTAATAAAAACTTCTTTTAAAAATATATTTCATTTTTATACACATAACAAGAAAGTGAATTTTTCAAATATTTTGTAAAGTATTTTATTGTTTACAAAGCATGTTTATTGCCCATTTTCTTGCAAATTCTTAAAGCAACCCTGTCAGGTAAGTAAAGCAGGTGTCACCTCCATAGGACGGATGAAATTGAAACCACAAGTAGTAAATGACTCAGGTCTTCTGACTTCTGAG